AAAGAGCGTGAAGAGTGATGATTATTTTCTCTCATAATTTCCGGTCAATGCATTTTTTATTTGTTATTTTTGTTTTTGTGATAAGTCAATGGATATAGTTGTGCAGTTGAATCTCATAAACTACCTCAAATGGAATTGTCAGAATAAACAAATTTTACTGCATTCCGGATGAATGTTTCCGTCAGAAAGTTATATAAATATAAAATATTTCCACTGCTTTTAGCCAGAATATACAGCCGCCAAATCTGTAACAAACATTGAGCAATGAATTATTCATTAAAATGATCATGACTTGCTTCTGCAGGATTAAGAAATTATTACTACAAATACGTTTCGGTGGATTCAATATATCTATTTGCTAATTGGATTTTGGATGCAGATATAGCCTTTCCATTTTCACATTATAAAACATGTGAGTACTCGGTTGCAAGATGGCAGTAATTTATGCCAGCTATGAAAATTTTTGTCCCATGCATGCCATTGCAACTTTGTAACAAAGCATAGACCAACATTTTAGTCGAGGGTTCTCTTGCGAGTTGCGACTATTTGCTGAATTTCCTTGCATTCAAGCCACGAGGTTGGTTACTGAAATAGAAGAAGCGTTGAAGGAGATTCAAAGTGCATTTTCCTTGACGAATTAGATTCATGAAATGGTGCAATATTGTTTTCAGAAACGGTGGGTGAAGCTGAAGGAATGGCAATAGAGAGGTCAAGGTTTAAGTCTGGCAATGCACATGATGACTCAGCCTCGCCACTTGCAGCATCTGAGACTTCACCAGAGTTATAAACATGAGGTGATTTACTTGTCTCGTTCTTGCTAATGTCCTTCGTGCCACAGGGTTTTGAACTATCATCAGACATGGGTGGATTCTCAAGGTTTGGGATTGAGTGTTTTAATCGATGATTGTTTGGGTCAATTCCCTTGCTAATTAGCTTTCTTCTTATATGAGAATTCCAATAGTTCTTCACTTCATTATCTGTACGTCCAGGCAATCTACCAGCTATTAGTGACCACCTGTACGAATCAATGTTAAACATTTAAATTAAATAATCTTCTTTCCTTTAATATGCCTAATTTATACAACCAAACAATGAATTATGTGAGAAAACCTTTTTAGTAACCTACGTTGAGAAAAAATAAACTTTGATTTCCATTTATATTATTTAATGGTGATAATGTTGCTCAGTACACTATCTACAGCTTAATAATATAATAAATAAAAAATCTTGTACACGCACAAACACATATAAATCAATAGGGTTAATCTAACAATTAAGAGATTGAGATGAGTATATAAAGACATGATTTCAATCTTTATTGTTATTGTTGTATAATACTTCCTAGTAATAATAACAAAACACTAACATATATAGGTCAAAAGCACAAGAAGAAAGAAAGTTTCGTGTTTAGTATTAAATTCTCACCTGTTGCCTAGAAGGGCATGAAGCTTGACGATGAGATCTTCTTCATCTTCGGAAAAGTTTCCCCTTTTTAGATCTGGACGTAGATAGTTTATCCATCTCAGCCTACAACTTTTACCACAGCGAAGTAAACCTAATCATCATCAACCAAATATGTGTGGTCAAATATATATATTATGTTACATTACAATTACAATATTTGTGTTAATAAATATTGTGCTATTGCTTGTGTGGATACATAAGGTGTACTACAATTATTATATATTTGATTTGATTCATTAATTTATTTCATATACCTGCAGCCTGAGGGAGTGTGCGCCAACAAACCTCGCCGTGTTTATTTATATAATCTACGAGTTTCTGGTCTTCTTGTTTGGACCAAGCTCCTTTGTTCAAGTCTTTGATATCACAACTAGGTTTCCTCATTCTTTCTACGTCGTTTAATTGAGTTTCCTTGAAACCCCAGCTACAAACGGAAGAATTAACCGAGTATAATAGGAAGATGTCAGAGAAAGAGAAAGAAAGAGAGATGCAGGATAGACGAGAAGAATGGGAGGGTGATAAGGTGAAATGAAGCAATATATACTATGGGTTTGTTGTTTGGATATAAGCAAGTGTAAGTTGACTTGGACCGGTGGTTTCGCTCATACGTGACTGCGTGGTTCATGCGTGATTCACAACACACCTTCTGAGAGAGAGAGAGAGAGATGGCAAACACTATTCGTCAAATGGAGGGTATGAATTGGTTGTGTTGTTTATCCTTTCTTGCCAAAATTGATAGGATATGACATACGGTTGGTTTTAATGTGATTGGCTATGAGGTTGATTTATTGAATCTAACTTACCATCATTAGGTGATATTAGAATACATGATTTCTAACTAATTTTTATATGATATATAATAAAGTATTATTAACTTTTCTTATAAATTAAAAAATTTAAATTCATGTATATTGTTATTGGTTGGTACCACAAATATTTACTAATCTTAAACTACTTAATAAATTTTCAAGATGTCCATAACAAGTAGATTAGGGTTAATAAGGGAGAACAGATGTTGGGATAAAGATAATGTTAAGACAATGTGACAATGTTACTTATAAGCTGCATCTGTGAGAATATATTACTAATTAAATACATCATTTAATTCTTCAATGTTTTGAAATTTTTTTAACTAAAAAATATATAATTGAACTCTTCATTTTTTTTATATTTTTATAATTTAGTTTCCAAAATTAGAATTCTTTTATAATCTATGAAACTTGACAAAATATTCTTATCTCTTCATATTTATTCATTCATGTCAAATTATTATTTCATGTTATGTGTTTCAAGATTTTAATCCTTAGCTATAAAAATTACTATTATCTCCCCTATCATAAGAAATTTTTAGAATTGTAGAAAATTTTAACGAGTAGAGATTAAAATCAGATATATATAAATAATTATATAAAATAATAATTTAATATAGGTGTACACATATGAAAATATAACAAATATTTAGTCAAATTTTAAGAATTGTAAAAAAAAATTTAACCCCATTGGCTAAATTATAAAAATCTATTAAAAAAATGAGATATTTAATTACATTACTTTTTTAGTTTAGAGAGTTAATTAAAGATTCTAAAAAAATTCCAACCTATATTATTTTGAAAAAAATTAAGTAATATTCTCACTCAAACTTATTCAAAAACAATTTTACTCCGGTATAAGTTAATTCAATGGCAATCTTTCACCGTTTTCTTCCTTTCTTTCTTTGAGAATAAAAAAATGGGAAAAATAATGTTTTGTCATTTTGCATTTTTAAATTAAAAGATTATATATATAGAGAGAGAGAGAGAAACGGTGCAATTAAAATTAGAATGAATAGGTAGGACAGTAGAAAGGAGAAAAGGGTAAGTTGGCAATGTGTCATCCGTTACAGTGTTGACTGTTAGTTTTCTCTAGTTCATTTGTTGTTCTGCTTTGACGAAACCGGATTATAAGGTGGGTGCATGTTTTCACAAGCAAGGTTTTATCTTCTTTTATGCCCTGCAAATATTTGATTATCTGTCAATTCTCAACGAGTTTAGTGGATGATATTTCCCAACAGACACATTTATAGTTCATCATGCGTGCAGCAAACTTTTTTTTTATATATATTTTTTTATGATAATATTGATAGGAATGTACTCCTACTTTATCAAAAATTGGTTTTTCTTCTGTATTAAAGGTATTTTTTTAACATCATTATTTTATCAAGTCAAAGGCCTGAATTTGATAGTTGACCAACTGCAACATTAGCTAAACCCACCAACATTGATAGTATTTGTATGTATGTGTAAGTGTGGAAAGACTTGTTAATTTATAATTCCTTTTCGTACAAGCAATAAGTTTAGAATAATAATTACAGAAAAAAGGTTTTTGTTACTCGTTACTAAAACTAAACCTTGGATCCATTAAAAAAATTATTTGTTATTAGCTTTTGAAAAGAAAAATATATAATATGTTAATAAAAAAAACTCAACATATAGCAAGCTCTATCATTAAAAAAGAAAAAAAAATCTTTCTCAACATTAACTCTAGGTTTTATTCATATCAACTTCATCTTGCATGTAGAGACGGTGAAATAAATTGAGTTAACTCATTAGATCAATTCTGTCAAATAAAATGTATTAATTGGATTTTTAATTTTGAGCTCGAATCAAATACTGACTTCTTTAAGTTAATTTGAGCATGTTCTAATCAAAGAGAATCCTCAATCTTCATTTTAGATATTTCAAATAAATCAAACATTTATTTTGCCTAACCTATTTATTTATTCATTTGTTTATTGGTATCAAAGATCTTACATCAATTAGAGATGGGACTATAATAACCACTATTGCATGTTGACTTGTTTAACCTAATTTGAGCATGTTCTAATTTGAGTAAAGACAATCCTGGATCTTCATTTTAGATACTCCAAATAAATCAAACATTTATATTGTCTAACCTATTTATTTATTCATTTGTTTATTGGTGTTAAAGATCTTACATCAATTAGAGATGAAGCTATAATATCCACTATTGCATGCAATAACTAATCTCCAATTGTTGAGGATTGTGACCACACATTCAACCCCCTATTATCACTTGGTAAAGCAACATGAGTCCCTTGCTACTTGCATCAACACACGTTAATACTTTTTACATTATAATGATGTCCAAAAAGCTTAAGAGGCCGATGGTTAGACTAGGACTCACTATATCATCCTATTTTTCAAAGACAAAAAAATAAAATAATTTTGATAATATTTATATTATGCACATAATTAATTTATTAATAAAGCTCATAATATAACCTATAGATATTTTCATTAAATAAAATAAAAATAAATTATCAGTTCGTAAGAAACCTTTGGGCTAGGACTTTTGAGTCCAACTTGTTGTTTTATTAATGATAGAGAGAAGGAAGGGTTAGGTACACATCAGTTTTTAAATCTTAAGAGGGTTTGCTAAAAACCTAGAGGGGAAACCCGGAGAAGAGCATGGAGTAGTTACAAAGACAATGAAGGATCATGTTTGTGTCTTGTAGATCATCGTTTAAGGTAAGAAGGAAAATGTAGATGCCTCACCTTGTGGGCACATATAAGTGGTATGAGTAGTGAAGCGATCCCTAAGTCTCTTTAAGATTTATAATTAAATATGTTTGATGAATTTATTGATATTATGCTATTGATGATGTGGTATGATAATTGTTGTTGTAATTTTCGTGGAGTTGAAATGATTAATTGAACTCATTTAAGTGTTGAATTAGGATTGTATGTGATAATTTAAGGTTTGATATAATTTGAATTATGAATATATAGTCTCTCTAAAAGGAATTTAATATTGTGTATGTTGATAGTTTGGATTTGACCTTCGAGTAATGATGTAGAGGATGTGTTTGTACTCTTTAAAATTCAAAACTTATAGAGCGGTATAAAGATTGGATAATATAACTAGAGGTTGAGCAATTGAAGTATTAATTGAGTAATTAAGGATATAAGAAAGTAGTATTAGGCTTTAATTTGTGATTGGATTGATTAGAATGAATTGATAATTAAATTAATTGAATGATTGAGTTAAGGATGAGTTAGAATTAGATTATGACTTATTTTTCATAGAACATTGCATGTCAAATTAAGAATACTATATGAACAAATTAGGAGTTGTGATTTTCATAAGAATTGTAGCTTTGGATGTTAGTTTTCCAATAACATTTGAATCACCCAAAAAGGAGGTCCAAAACTCAAGTTATTATCAAATTAGGGACCAAAGGTCAGGCTATAAAATTTAGGCTTAAATATTAAGGTTTTTTATTTTTTTAAAATAGTAGATGTTAAAATAAACTCTTGAGGTCAACATTAAACTTGTAGATAATTGTCTTATATTTCCAATAAAATTAGGATGAACATGATATCATAAGTATAACTCAATATATTGTGTTTAAATCATACAATATCATAGAAGTTTAAGATTAAAAGAGATAATTTGTGAGTTGAAATTGTCAGTTATTTTATCCTTTAAAAGCTTAATCTAAAAATTATTTGAAATAATAATACCAATAGTTAAGAAAGAGAAAGTGTGAGAGGCAATATTTATGTATAAATGATGAGTGAGTTATATAAAGATATGAAATTATGTTTGTAAGATTTTATGCCTATATATGTGATGAGATGGTTGTGCATAATGTGATATGAAATGTTTATGTTTGACTTGAGAATATTTTGTCCAACATTTGAGACATTGGTGAATGATGATATGCGAGATGATGATAATGTGTGATATGAGATGCTTATGTGTAATGTGCATGATGAGGCGTGACAAGACAACATTGAGATGTGTATTGATTTGATTAAGATCCTTAGGTGTAACGTTTGAGACATTTGGCATATTTGAGGTGATATTGGTGAGATGACGAAATCCAAGAAGGGATTGTTCTTTTGGAGAAGTCCAAACATAGGTTTGGCAAACTAATCATGTTGGTGTTGAACATGTGCATTAATTATTGTTTGATGTTGTGGTGTGAGAGTCCATACATTCATGCATAATTTCTTTGGAGGTGGTGTGAATTTATGCATGTAAGAGATTCTTTATGGTCTTCTACCTTGGCCTTGAGGGTGTTATGATAAGGAATCTTTATCAAGTATGAGAGGTGACCACAGTCGATTGTAATGCCTTGATTGGATTCAGATAGATCTTCTCCTAGTTGAGAGAGTGGATTAAGAGGGTCACCTAATGTGTGGTGATCCAGTCCATGTGTTCCTAGGTTGCCTAGTATTTGGAGTGCCTTTGGCAATGTTGGAGATTGATACCACATGCATATAAAAGCAAGATTATAAGTTGCATGAGTCATTGAATAGTCAATGTGTTTGCTTATGAGATTAATGTATTGAATGTAATATTGAGTATTATTTATGAATGTTTGTGTTGGCTTGAATGATGTTGTGTATGTTTCTAAATGTTATCCATATAACTTATATGTGATATATATATATATATGTGCGAGATATATTTTCACTCTTCTTGTTTTTGTGGTTGTTTTTCTTATTTGGGATGAATGGCATGGAATAGTTGATCAAATATATAAGGTTGAGTATAAGGGAGTCGAAGCTTAAGGCTTCGATTTTATTTTATGAATTTTGCTTTGATTAGTGTAAATCAAGACTAGTGGACTCTTTATATTTTTTTTTAATTTCTTT